TTGTATAGCAAGCATTTGATTATTTGATAAAAATCTTTGAATTTTTTCATTTTTTTTTTTTTCATTTTGTATTTAACAAAAAAAAAAACATAGTTGTAAGTTCCCTCTCTTGTGTAAAGTTTGAATCTGCTAAAATACTTGGCCTGATATATGGGCAGAAATTTATCAATAAATGCAGTGAATTATTAGAATGTTCAATTTGTTGAAAATACCTGTGGGATAAATCAAGTTTTTCTGACATAAATGTGATTAGTCTGTACTTCACCTAATGTTATTTTCAAAGTATTGACTATCATCAAAATTAAATATTTATTTAGTCTTAAAAATTAACCTCAATGTGATTTTTGCCTTACTCAAAAATCTTGCACAAATCAGAATCATTAGTATCAATAAAACTGCATACCATGAACAAATTCTGATGTATTTAAAATTAAATAATTTAGCGGAATACTTAAAACATTTTGTAGACCAAGGAGATTAAATTAATTGAACAAAGAAACTAATTTTTTTTTTCTCCAGATGGTTTATGGGCCTGTAAAAATGCTATTTGTTTAGAACAAGGGTAAAATGAAGACAATATTTTCCTAAGTAAAATTTATGTGAATAAACTAAGCAGAAAGTTGGTATCCCTATAATTTTAAGGTTTCAAAATCAACAAAACCATTTCAGCCTGACAACTCCATCTATAGAATAGGGGTAGAGATTTATCCCTCATTTCCTATTTAACTTTGAATTCCTTCTAAAGTATTCTCATTCTCTTTTACTCCAAGTAATTACCCCCACCCCCTTGTATTTTAGTGACATTATCACCTTGCTTGGGATGAAATGATTTAAACAAATAAAACATTTTTTATAGAAGCTGGTCTACAAAATGAAATAACTCTAGAACAGAACAATTTTCAACTGTTATCTTAGATGATCTTCAGTTATACAATATATATATATATATATAAAAATGCCCATCTGGTGTTGCTTATTTTTATTACAAAAAAAAAAAAAAAAATTATAAAAAAAGCATAAAAAGAAAAAGATCTTCGAAGAGGCTTCCCAGATTGACCAAAAGCAAATTTTAACTTCCAGCTAAGTAGCACATAAGCCTGCAAATGGAAGAAAACCTCGGGTGTTATCTGAACAGTTACAGAATTGAGATGTTTATGACCTGCAGCTGGTAACTTCATCAACAGAGATAAGTGGTAAGAGAGGGAGTCATAGACTTACAGATCAGCTTTTCCTCTTAAGCAACAATGACTGACATGACAGAAGTTGCCTCAAGTATTGCTAACCTATGCACCAAGACCACAAAGTGAATTCCTGAATAAATAAATTATTGATGAGAGGTGGAATCAATGGCTGAGAAATGAAAACAAATCCTATTGTTCCCCTTGTGGATATTATGTAGTTTTTGTGCAAACAGATGCAATATGGGATTGTGTGTCCAGTTGGTGCATGTATTTTAACTACTGTGCAGTTTTCCGTGCAATCTTTTCTTTCTTGGATAAGTATTTTTATAAGGCATTGCAATTTGACCAGATTTGTTTAAGTATGAATCAAAGGCTCAATTCAACAGGGATTTACAATTTGGACATAAAAAGGTCAACAAATATATCCAGCCATCATCTTATGGAAGTAAAATACAAAGTATCAAAATTTGGATATATTTGAAATTGCTGATAAAAAAAAAAAAAAAAAAAAAATTGGGCACTTTGTGGCAATTGTTTGATTCAAATTATCAATCCACCCAATTTAAAATTGGAACATTAATGGCTTTTAATTTGGTTGTGTTGTTCACATTTTTGGTGATACCATTGACTACATTGACCAGTGTAGTATGCATTGCTTCCGAAAAAAAAAAAAAAAATGACAAACACTGTAGAATGAAGTGACGAGGCCAGTGTTGGTAAACACAAGATTTTGTTTGAACAAAGCTTGTAAATTTCTGAAAATGTTTGTATTTCAAGTAGAAAACAAGTAAAATCTTCAAGTAATGAGACACCCTCAAGGAAGAGAGAAAAGTCAATGTACATGTTGATGGCATGTATAGCTCTCCACATAAATTGCAAATCATATTTTAATTGTAAAATCCAAACTAATTTCAGATGGGCAAAATGGTTATATAGTAAGGAAACAATAGAGGTTGATAGATTGATGTTTTCTGCAGGTTATTTAAAGCCAGAAAACATTTTTAGATTGTAATTTTTTTGGAGATAATGGTTTAGTGACCAGTCTTACTAATTATTCTATAGCTGAGGGGAGAAGAGGTGCATCATACCTCTCTCAAGGGTATTTGTGTGTAAACGAATATAAAAAAAAAAAAAAAAAAAAAAAAAAAAAAACTCAATATTAATTGGAAGTTGGCTTGGAAATATTAATCAGGGAGCAATTATCCATTACACCAGCTACACATCCAAGCTTACGGCACCTGGTATTCTAAGTACTGACCAGGTTCGACGTTGCTTAACTTAAGTGAAGCCTTCTATTATTTACAATCACTGAAAATGTTTTTTGTGACATCTTTCCAACTATTAACTTTGAGGAAAATCTAGATAAGGAAAGTGGCTTTATAAAGGTAGATCAGTTGTTGACCAATTTATTCAGAATTAAAAAAAAAAAAAATCCAAACGATCATGGCAGACAGTGGATGACTTTGAAAATGTGATCATCCCTTGAAGATGATAAAAAAACAAAACACACACACTTATTCTGGCAGAAGGCCTACATAAATTTAGTAAATATCTGGAAAAGAAAAGAGAGAAAGAAAGACAGAGGATTTTATAAGTAAACAGAGCTATCATGTTTAGTTTCTACAAGGCTGTGGAATTACCATTACAGAAATTCAGACAAATTGTTCCCATCACATCTCAAATATTTCTGAAGAGTTATTATTTACATGCGGACTTTTGTCCTCATTTCTATTGTTAACACGTTTTGGCAGTTGTGCCTTCAGGCCTGTATCAGGTGTATGTCAACCTGGGTAAACCATAGGGAATTCTGAACTGAACCCTTTATTTAATCTATAGGGGATAGACTGTTCTTATTTTAATGCTGAATTCTTCATCATAGCCATGGTAGTGGAACAAGAACAGTCTATAGACATAAATTAAATAAATGATTCATTACAGAATTCCCTATAGTTTACCCAGGTTGATATAGACCTGATGAGAGCACAATGTTCTTACTATCACAGCATTTTGACCAAAGATGAGGACAATAGTCCACATGTAAATAATGATGGGAACAAGTTTTCAAAGTTAGTCACTCAAGATAAAAATAATAATAATAAAAAAAAAACAAATTCTTCTTTTGTCTTAGTTTAAAAAGGTATGTTTAATGAAAATACTTCCAAGAGACACACATGGCAATCTTATGATTCAAGAAGCATACATCCTTGACAGAGAAAAAAAAAAAAAAAAACCTTTCACAAGAACTGAGTGGTCACCTTCCCTCGAAGGCTAAGGAGGGCGGAAAGAAGGTGCAAAATAAACCTGCTCCAAGATATGAAGACTGGACAGAAGCTTCATAAGGTTTGCTATCAGCATCAGTTAATATTGGTAAATTTATCCAAATATCATTCAGAGAAAAGTTAAATAATTTCTTATAATTTTTACCTATTATGTAGAGAAAATATTTTTTGCAAATAACTCTGGTTCATGATTTTCAAGAAAGTAAAAGACATGGCGAAGATAGTTCACCTTGTTCATTTTTTCAATCCCTATAGAAGTTCAGATCTTATTTTTGTTAAGCAGATAGCTCAATAGTTGGACAGACTGATTGATATTTTATCCTGAAAACTCAATATTCCGCTCCTAAAGCTGAAAACTTTTGATCAAGCTAGTTCCATGGATGAAACAGCTGAAACAAACTCCTACAAAAGAGAAGTTTTGAATAATAGTTTTCTTTTTGTTTATATATTAAAAGTCAGCAGGTAGCAAAAAAAAAAAAAAAAGACTGCATCTCTTCTTACAGCACTGGTCATATCAGTATTAGACCTCTACTCCTCAGTACCAGTGAAAGCAAAAATAAAATAAGTCATCTTAGCTTTGCTTTTATCTCCTTTCCAATTAAAGCCAGAACAACAAAGAGTAGCAAAAAAACAACTGTTGCAATAAATTAAAAACAGATATGGTAAGAAAGGATAGCCACCACCAAATTTTTTTTGACTCCAAATCATCAGCCTGGCAAAAATAATTCTGACAAAATGAAATAAATGGGTGGAATATCAATAAACATAAGGAAAAATAAAACAAATTTTCTGAACATCCATTGTGGAGAATTAAAATATACTGAAATCATAAGGTGAGTATTAAAAAAAAAAAAAAAAAATAAAAATATTTTCCTTTCCCCTTTATTTATTTATTTATTTAACAATAAAATTTTTAAAAATAAAACGAGATTATATATATATATATATAGCTTATAGATTATGGACTTAAAGATTTTTGGACAAAATTATCCAAAACATCACATTGCTAATATAAAAATGGCCAGCTAAAAATTTTTAATAAGAAATCAAACAAACAAAAAGAAAAAAAAAAGAAACATTTTTAAAGTCCCCTTTATTTTTCAATTAAAAAAAAAAAAAAAAAAAAAATATAGAAAAGAAAAGTAAAGCTATTAGGGTAATGAGCAAATCCTGTCATACAGGAATTCCTTTACCTGCATATAGTGTACCCCACCCACAGAACTTTGAAACTGTTTGACATGTAACTCTGGCAATGTTGTCCCCAGAGCTTATGCGGGTAAAGGAATCAGAATGAGACAAGAATCTCATCCATTTTATATTCTCAGTACAAAGATAGATGCAGTAGATGTGATGCTGGTAGAGCTGAGAACCGATTTTTCCTTCCAACCCACCCAACTCATAACTTCAGTATTAATAGTAATAATTTTAATAATAATCATCATAACAATAGTTGTGTAGCAGTAACCAAGGTTACCAGTAATTACTTGTGAAATCACATGGCTTTCAGTCACAGGATGCACTTATCTTGCTGTGTTTAATATCAAGATTTGCCCTTGAGTTTATTTGCAGACACTTTTGCTGTATCTTTTGCTGAAAAAGAAAAAAAAATAATTATGAAAAAGAAGAAAAGGCTTTATTACAAGTTTTTTTTTTTTAAATTTGATATTCTCAAATTGTCTTGAATTTAAATTATTTGAATAAATTTTCTGATATCAGTCATTTTGATGGTAAAAGAAATGTTGCCCAGGACAGATAGCTACCTGAACAAAACTATATTAATATTTCTGTTAGTGTCATGATTTCTCAAATACAATCAATTTTTTTTTTTAATAAATGGCCATAGGGAACATTTTAATTACTAAATGTTATACTTCAAAAGTGACAAATTCAAACTGAGCTTCCTCTTCTATTGCATAGCAGACGGGCCTTTACCTGGCAGACTACTACCCAATGTCTAATTTACATCATATATTTGTGAAATATCTAGATTGTGAAAGATGTAAGTGCCCAGAACAGGCAAGTTACACTAATATTCATTCTTCATCTTTGACTTATAACTATGAAAAGCTTTTATACAAATTACTGCAAGCACAAGATGTTATGTGCAAGAAAAAAAAATCCAGAGTGGGAGAGAGAGGGTGGGAGAGAGAGAAAGAAAAAAAAAAAAAAAAAATCAAGGGTGGCAGAGAGAGAGAAAAAAAAAAAAAAATCAAGGGTGGCAGAGAGAGAAAAAAAAAAAAATCAAGGGTGGCAGAGAGAGAAAGAAAAAAAAAAAAAAAAAAAAAAAAAAGGGTGGGAAGAAAAAAAAAAAAAAAAAAAAAAAAAAATCAAGGGTGGCAAAGAGAAAGAAAAAAAAAAAAAAAAAAAAAAAAAAAAGGGTGCAAAAGAGAAAAAAAAAAAAAAAAAAAAAAAATCAAGGGTGGTAAAAGAGAAAGAAAAAAAAAAAAAAAAAAAAAAAATCAAGGGTGGGAGAGAGTGAGGAGTCAGGGTTCAAATACAATATATATTTCATATTAATATTTATGTTTTTGCCCTTGTCTGCAGACATACTAACATATATATATATATATATATTTTATAGCATCTCAGCCAATTCTTATATTTTGCTCTCAGAAGGAAGAATTATTGAAATTACCATCTCTCAAAAGGTCACATCACTGGAAAAATCATTTTGAAAACACCCAATAGTAGTTGATATTTAGGAAAAAAAATAAATATATATATATATATATATAAAAAAAATCAGCAAAAATGGTAGAAATAATAGTATATGAAAAACTGATTAAATTTTAATTAAATTTGTTTCTTTTTTTATGGTTTATCAATCCTTTGTAGGTTATCTAAAGCAGAAACATCTTGGTTTAGTTTATTTATTTTAAATAACCCTTCGAGATTGATATGGTGTTAACGTTGACAAGTTTTTTTCAGATAAGTTTGTATGAGTAGAGTATGTATTCTTTGTAAGGAATCATTTTGTAGATCAGATTTCATTGACATTTTGCAAGAGGGGGATTTTGTCGAGAATCAAATATATTGATGGTAATAATTTTTCCTTCAAGACATTTTTGAAGGAAAAATTATTACCAGCAATAATTGATTGTAAAATAATGTAGGAAAGCAGAATTGGTAAAGAGGGTTTTGTTTTGCAGAAACATTTTGAATTGTAGTAGGTCCCTTACAGAAAAAGCAGAATAAAATACACAGGTGGAGGATTTGACTATTAATTTAGTTGTTAAGTTTTAGCAGAGATTTGAATAATATTTTGTCTTGTTGAAATATGAAGGCAATTCAAGAATGATAACATTGGTTCATGAACTCTAAAATAGAAAAGAATCAATCTCATTTACCTTTCTTTTCATCTTCCCTTTTCTTTGCTGCTTCTTCTCGTTGTTTCTTTATGAGTGCTAACCTTGCCAAATCAGCTCGTGCTTCATCCGTTTTCCCTTGGATGTGCAGTTGCTGATATCTGATCTTCGCTTGCTGCTTTTCAATTTCTTCCCTTGAAAACAAACATGCATTTGTACTTTGAGTTAACAGTAATAGGAACTGAAAAACATTATTTAGGTAAGAAAATCAGGTACTGAAAATTGTAATTAAAAATAGCAAAATTTGCGCTAGGTATTATATACCCATGGTTAGTGTTCTAGGGTAAAAAAAAAAAAAAAATCATTAAGAATCTCAACTTGTCTAGAAAAGCAATTTTAAATCACTTACAAGGCTTTAGTAAACCTTTAAAAATATTTTATTGATTAATAATAAAAGAACCAGTTAACCATATCTCATGATATTAATTGTTGTATCAAATTTAACAATTCAAAACCTCTTACAAAAGAAATGAACTGCAGTAAAGCAAAGACAAGATTCATATTTAATTTTTATCTTCTGTAACATTCTAAGTTTGCATTTTATATGTAGTACATAAAGATAATTAACGAGTGTGTGTGTGCCTCATGTATCGGATTAAGTTTGGAACTTACCGTTCTCTTCTTGACAGACTTTCAGATCCACCTCCTTCAACGGCTATATCAGTCACTTTTTTACTTCGGTTTACATTTGCTCGATTTGGATTCTCTATATCTATTAAATGACCAACTCCTTTACTTTTGAACTGCAAATTTTAAGACATAAAATAAAAAAGACATAGCAAGTTTCCACTGCTGGCAAAGTTTCTACTTGCATTAATAAGAACTGATAAAAATTCAACAGCTGTAATACTATTACTATCGTTAATGATTATATTTGCACAAACTATTTTACTGACTAAAAAAAAAAAAAAATAGTAAAATGTAATGTTTACAGTCAATCATAAAATCCTATACATCAGATATTTCTAAAAATAAAAATGTCTGTATTCAGCTGGCTAAACATTTAAGTCAATTTTGGCTTCAATAAAATATTTTCTTTTAAGTTTCTAGATATGTGAAAATTATAATTTCTCTCAATGCTTACAATAATTTGTAAACTACATGCACAAAGAAAAAATTGCTTTCTTGGGTGTAAAACAAATTGTTAGAAGTCCAACAATAGTAAAGCCCTGAAAATTGAAGAAATAAAGTTTTAAAATTAGGATTAAAATAAGGTAAAAAAATTTGACAATGTCAAATATAATTTTACTTGGAATAATAATAAAGTTTTCAATATTTGATTTACTTGCAAGTATTTGGTCCAATTTTCTTTGGTTACAGTTTGATCATAATCTATTTTCAAATCTTTACAGCAGCTATCAATCCAAATGGTTGAACATGAAAAAATTTCTTACTTTTGCTAATTTACCATTAAATACAATAACTTCAATGTATAGTATCTTGTCTAGAAATTGATAATTCTTTCTAGAATGCAATGTATTCAGTCTACCAGATTATAGGCATATCTTCCAAACCAAGGAGTTCTAGTATAAATATCCTATAGAAAAATAATGTTTCAGCAGGCAAAGTGGTTTTATTTTTTTTTTGATGTTTAAATTCTTATGGTTAGCAAATGAAACGTCATAAGCAACAATTTTTCCTGAAAAAGTAATGAGAGATCTTTCTCCCTTAACTGAATTGCTTAAAAGCAAGCATTTTTTTCCTGCTTCAATACTGAACTTAGTTCATTTATACTTCAGATTTTTATCTAATTTGAGCTTCAAGTCAATTTAGCTGATCAATCAACTGCATGAATTTTGTCATATTCTCTTGTGAGATTGAAAACATTCAGTTGGTTTCTAATTGTATAGGAACTATTTTGCATAAGGATTATACTCTTTCTTTACATTCAAAACAACATATTTAAAATTGGTGCATTCTTCAGATTTAACTTTAAGAACTAGTTATTAACAGTGGTATGAATGGACCCTGATCTAGCAAAATGGAAGTTTCAATATGACTTGTTATAATAAAGCCATGGAATTTGTGATTAAAATTGCAAGCAAAAATGGATTGGTCTTATTTTAAAGGACGTGTTCCCAGTTCTATTGGTTTCTTTCTGTTAAATATCATGCAACAGACACACCTGACTATGCACACACTTTGACAACTCCCAAAAGGTAACCTTGTGGTACATTGGTCACTAAAAGAGGACACAGCAAGAGGTCCCTCCTTGGAAGAAAGCACGTTTCACATGGGTTTGTAAATCAATGCACGTCTTTGAAGATATTCCAATGACAAGTATAAAACCTTCCCTGGAACACATAAGAGAATCACTTCTAATGTTGCCTGCTTCAATATCTCTTCTAAAGCCTTTTTGTTACTAGTCTTGCCTTAACAACTCTGTCCTTCCTAGAGATTTTGATAGGTGTACAGGAGATGTAATGGATAGTAGCTCAGAATAAGAAATTGGAGAGCACTTACACACAAATAGCCTTTGGGAGAGGTATGAATTTAGCTCTCCACTCTCAGCTATGGGTTAAATACTATGACTATCTGGAAAAAAACATTATCATCTCCCAAAAATTGTTAATGCCATAAAAAATAATTATTCTTACAATTTATGATGTTTGAAATTTAAATAACCTACAAAGAGTTGATAAGAAAAAAAAAAACATCAATCCATGTGATTCTACGTTTAGATCCATTTTGTACATATTCTTGTCAATTTATCAAGAAATTTTCCAAAGGTTTTATTTTCAAACCATCTCATTTTTTTTTTCGCCTCCTCAACTTCATGGAGATCTATAAACTATCATCACATATTCACTTTCAAATGTCTGTTCTACATTATTTATCTTCCATTCTGAGATTCTATGTTAAAAGTCAAAAAGAAAGATATCTACTTCAACCATCCTGACCTTGCATCTCGATTTTAGTCACTTTCTCACCAACGTGGGGTGGTTTCCCCTCTATCTGTTTCTTTTTTTTTTGTTGTTGTTGTTGTTTTTTTTTAAAAACAAATATTTTCATGGCAACTATTCTGACGAGCTTTTTAACCTGGTGCATCCAACTACATGAATTTAAGTGGGATACTGGATTGTGGAAAGGTCCCACCCGTTTACTGTTGAAATAGCAAAATGCAACTCCCACTTCTCCAAGATTTTCTCACACTTCCCACCTGTCTAACTCCTTTCCATTTCCTTGCTTCTCTAAGTATAATCTTCAAAAATTTAAATGCAACATCACTCGCCATCTTGTGTCTTCTTGAATCCTGTTCATCTTTTTTCCTTTCCTCAATCCTCCCTATACTCAGCCTTCTCTTTCACTGTAACCCCCTGCGTACTAGTGGCAATTTTGTCTTTGCTTGGGGTAAAATAAATAAAACAGTAAGCTCCTGCTTTTATATGGTTCTAGGTAACAAGGACAGTAAAGTAAACATATCTTTGGGCCAATGGCTATAACTCACTTAAAATTTGTTACTGGTGATTTTTTTTTTAAAAATGAAAGGACAATAATTCTATTTAATACTGTAAATATTTCACAATAAGAAAATCTAAACAATGACTGCTTTCCTTATATTAAACTTTATGTGTAGAGAATGAAAGAGAGAGAGGGTAAGTGGGAAAAAAGAAAAGCATTATTGATAACTAAAAATTAGATACACTCACTTCTTCTTTACTGTCAGAATCTTCTGAAGATGATGCGCTTCCTCCATCACTGTTCCCTTCCTCACCACTCTCAATACCTTTTTGCCTCTGGGAAAAGAAATTTTAAAATAAAAATGTTAGAAAGAGAAAAAAAAAAAAAAACATAACACTTACCAAATTATAACAGTACCCATACATTACCAGTTTGGAATCTAAGAAACCCCACAAACAGTATTGATACAAATTGGCAAAAAAAAGTGCTGTAAAGTTCTAATCCTACCAAACAGTGATATAACAAACTGCTATTTAGGTATTTGGTCAGGTTTTGCAAAATTGTTTAGAAAGATAAGAACTTTTCAGTACCCACTCATAAATCCTTTCTTTATAAAACTCTTTAGGCGAGTTCACACCCACTAGGATTTGGGGGGGGGGGCTATACATAAAATTTGTATTGATAATTATAATCATCATTAAATTTATTGGTGTTAAAAACCATGAAACCAAATTACAAGTTGATAGAATTTACGAGAGACAAAATCAGATTTTATAACAGTTAATATTAATACAAGAGAAATAAATAGGAAACTAATGTTCTCGTAAAATCTGTAACAAGAATGGATAAATATTTGACTTCAAATTTGAAAAACCTAAATTAGTATGGTCATTAAATATGCAAAACCAATTGTTTAAGAAATCGGTGATAGAATTATCAAGGAACCCTTCTTTCATAAAAATCAACATTTTTATTTCAAACTTTTTTTTTTGTCAAGACATAGCAACTTTGTAGGGGGACAAAGGGGTGATGAGGAGATAAATAAATATCCCAGTAAAATTCAGATATAGTAGCAATTGTGTGATCAACAAATTATGTCACTGGAATGTGTACCTATTGCAACATCCTGGAAGAGCCTGAAAGACCTGGTATAGAAAAGCAACAAACTTGGGATAAAATCTGAAAGCTGTCTACAGCTTCTATTAAAAAAAACAAAAAAAAAACAAACAATGCAACAACATCATTGGATAATTTGGTAACTATTTTGAAATATTCCAATTTCTTGGAAAACTGATTTCCTCTTGACAAACTAGACAATTAAGCTCAGTTCAATTGATGAATGTGAGGAGAGAGAGAGAGAGAAAAGCAAACAAACTGCAATTATAATTTTGGTGTGATTTCTTTGAAGTTTTGCATAGGAAACCAACAGCTCAACCGATTACTACTTTGATGCACTTTCAAAAGTTATACAATTAATTGATTACCTCACCAACAGGTCCTGGTTACCCTCTCAGTATTTCCCCCCTTTCTCAACACAATATAACATGATTGGAAACTGCAACTTACACACAGGTAAGTTTCCTATCAAATGTGTCTAGCAAACATCACAAATACATATTGCAATAATCAGCAAATTTGAAAATCATAATACGCACCAATGTTTTTCTTAATATTATTGCAAACTTTGGTATGCGAGAGATATTTTCTTAGTCAGGTGTTCTCTTTTGTAGTGACTTTCTATGGAAATTTTAACTAGGTGATTAGAAATACCAACAATACAATAACACTCCAGTTAGTTACAATATTAAATATGAAATGGAATACCAAGTTAATGTGAAGGCTTCTCTCATCCTACATTACTAAGTTTTTCAGCCTCTGTGTCGATTACAGAAAAAAAAAAATAAAAAATCTTGTTTTGTTTTCTCCATTATTATTAGGCAAGACGAAAATTAGGTAAAAACTGATCACTCACCCTCCAAGCTTTTTTCTTTTCTTCCTGTTCATGTTGTTGAGCAAGTTCTTCTTCATTTGTAAATATCCTTCGTTGGCCTTTGTGGCTTCTCTTGCCACGGCCTGCACCAGTGCCACCTAAAAAAAAAAGAAAAAAAGACAAAAGTTCATGAATAAGATGCACGTCTTTTATTTAATGTTAAACTGATATATTTTGCAATGATTTTAATGAATACAAATTTAGTCTCCCTCCACCAAGTCTTCTTTCCATATTCAGCTATCAAAACTACTGATTTTAGTTTTCTTTCCTTATTTCCTCAAGTGAACATGTTGAAAACTCTAAAAGTTGGAAATGTGATGCATATGTAGTTGTGCAGAGATAAATTGAAGACTGATGTGTAAAGACAAAAAGTACAAAACAAGATTGTTTTCTACAGACTAAATATATTCTTGTTCACCATTTTTTCTGGGCCATCAATATAAAACCACAGATTGTATGTGTCTATATGACAATCTTCTACAATAAAACTCTTTAGATTCAAACACAAACAGGTAAAATTTTATTCCATTAACCAGTTTCTATTGTCAGAGCAAATGTCAATTTTCTATATAAATAAATTTCAAGTTTGCCATCATGACCTGCACCAAATATAACCAAACAGTGTAATTTGATATTGCAATCAGATAATTAAGTTACATCATTTTAATGACCATCTCAAAATCAAGTATAAAAAAAGCGGACGGATTAAGATGTTGGGGATCCATTATAAATCAAATGCTACTTTAAAATTTAATTTTATACCTGGAACTAAACCTATCATGATTGTCCCTCCCTTCGTTAGTTAGCACAACTGTTACACCATGTCAATACCTCATAAATAAAAGACTGTTCTGTTTTGATGGTGTGGAAAGAGGAGAAAAGACACTACTTGGTTTCAGTGAGAAAATCAATGAAAGAAAGAAGGGAAGATAGAAATGTTTAACATCTTTTTTCAGTGAAATGGAAAAAGTTGTCAATTTCAAATCTCTTCATTTGTACCCAGTTGCAATAACAATCAGAAATATGAAAACTGGTAGTTATTTTAATATTTTAAGCTCAAATATTTAATGATACAATAGAGAAATTTCTATGGATATTTTATTATTGCAGAAATCACAGTGAGCTTACTCAATCATTAACTTAAGAATCAAGATTCATCAGAATATTAAGATGCGAAAATTCCATGATTTTCCTAGGTTAAAACTAGTTAAAATAAATGGAAGAAATGTTTATTTTTAGGAGTCAATATTTGATTAGTTCTATACTGCAAAAAGGTTTTTTTTTTTTTTGACTGCATTAAGTTTGTTTTTTCTTTAAATTTGGAGCAGCTCAGTACCCCCCACACACACACACACACCAAAAAGAAAGAGGACAAAATGTTTTTACAAAAACTTTTCATACTATTCTCACCTGACCTTAATTCTCTACCTCATGATTTAAGAATGCAGCAGTAAAGCAGATTTGAAAATAACAATTATGAACGTAAAAAAAGATTTTATTTTCTATTTGACTGGAGGATATTTTGGCATTTTCTTGTTTTTTAAAAAACTATATCTTCTCAATAGTTGTATACAAGAGCGATGCTGAAAAGTTCTCAGTCCATTGCACTCCCCAAACATCAGAGCTTCAATTTTTTCACTGTGTGTGTGTGTAAGTTTTTAATAACTGTTTTTTCAGAAAGCATAAAATTTTCAAGTATTGATATCAGTCATGAAATTTCTCTACCTGCAAAAGGAAACTCCAAAGGAAATCCCTGAGTGTATAATAAAATAAAAACAATGGGTGACAAGCCTTCATCATAGTCAACTGATAAGATGAGGCCTGGAATGCATTCTACAATGTTAACTCTTTACTTAATTTTAGCTGAAATATGGTGTTTTAGTGCCGAGATACTAGAAATATCCAAAGAATGTGTTATGTTTATAATCCATGAGCAGTTTAGGTATGCAGAATCTACCAGCCAAAATGTACGAACGCTAACCAGAAATGATAAATCGAGTGGATACGTCTTCAATTTGATTTGGCAATATTTTCACTGATTTAGGGATATTTTGTTTTTGTCACTGTTGATGAGGCACGCACCACTTTGATCTGGAAATCAAAAAACATTTCATGAAGTGGTGATACTCAGGTTCACCATAGCTGAAGAACTTCAAGACAACAAAAATCAGCAGGAAAGATCATGGCTTTTTGGTTGATTAATTGATTCCTTTTCTACAGCTTAACTCTTTTGAGGGGATTAAAGATGACATTAACTACACTCTTCAAAGGACCAAACAGCAAATTAGAGAAGTGTTCTATATTAACTGTGTGAAAATGTTGAAAGAAAAATAATGAAGGATGCTGTATAAAATTGTTCTCTTTCATGGGGCTAATAGATGATGAATTTGGGGTTTAAGTGCAGTGACCATTTACCCTACTCACCAAATCAGACTCCATTTGATTATCCCCCACCCATTTCCAAACCTTCAAAGGAGTTTGAAAAGGGAGAAATTTTCAAATTTTGAGGTGATAGCAGAGGCAGCAAGCGAATGACCAAAATTCAGATTTATTTTTGAAAGGAAGCAATGTGCCAAGTGTGATAAACGGAGGGGGGGGGGGGTTATACACACACACACACAGGTTTCACGATTCTAAATCAGGCCATAACTTTTTCAGCACCTCCTCAGACATGGCAGTCGGCCAACAACTCGTTATTCGGTGTCCAGACTATTTGCATGGAAAAACAAAGTAAGATATAAAAATCACATCAGATTTATTTCAGTATTTACACATAATGGCAACTGAAACAATATACTGAAGGAAGAGGAATGTGAGGAAAGAATTCTATTGTTACAAATAAACTTTTTGCTTCTGAAATATTTCAGGTTTTTACAAAAGTTAGGCATTTTGTTCATGCATAGTCAGAGTGCCAAAATAAACTATTTCATTTACTTTGCAAAGACATGGTTTTAACGCGAGAAAATTAGTTCTCAATCTTCTTTTTGTTCATTAGCCAGGTTGTCACTGGATAGTGTAGTGGCAGCATACAAAGACAATTCATGGAAATGACATCCAATTAAGCCAGCAAGAAAATTACAGTTGGCCCAGACAACACTGCCATTTTGTTGTCCTGCCAGGTAATGACCAAAACTTTTCAGTTTAATGAATGTGTAAAAAGGTAAAATGTATTTACTTCAATATTTTTTTTTTAAATTTACAAAAGAATAAAATTTCCTTTCTTGTTTTTTGAGATTGTTTTACCTGGAATTATTATGGATATATGCCACATTTATATAAAGGTGTTTTTGTAAGGAGAGAGAGCTAAGAAAAATGTTTTATAACAAACATAAAATATTAAAACAAGGGTCTAAACAAAAAGTAACAAATTTTAAACATGTAGCAAGTAATAATTTTGCATTAGTTTTAGTCCTTTGTTATTAAAGAAAACAGAAGAACGAATTAGTAACTGAACTAGTTTACAGCTTTAATTGTTTTTTTAAGCAATTTACAAGGTTTTCAAAATTCTTTTGGTTTGGTTTATGGTGTATCAACTTCAATGGGTTATTTAATGCCAACAAGATCATATGAATAGAATATATATTCTTTGTAAGGAAGCTTTGTAGATCTGGTTTCAATATTCTTTTAAACAAAAACAGAACTTTTCTGAAATGGTTTTTCCCTATATAAAGTAAATGCAAAAATAGAATCTGAATTAAATCCAAAATTTAATATTTCTATAATTTACAGAAGTAGGAATAAAAAGTGCATTATTAACAGACAGAGTGAGTGTGAGGGAGGGAGGGAGGGAAGGAGTAAAACTGTCTGCAATATACTGGGGCTTGGATTAGAGAATTAAATGCTCCTTAGTTAATAAAAAAAAAAATTACCAGATGATATTAACATTTGGAAAAGACTTCAGCCAGGCCTAATGTGAATGATGATGACAAATACCAGGCTTATGAGACTGGTTAAAAAATTGAATATAATTCACTTTTTTTTCATCAACTGATAAAGATTGCACTGCTATGACCCCTGACTATCAGTTAAATAAAGTTTGGTTTTGATCCAAAATGAATATAGTGCTGTTCGATAAAAGTGACTCACCTGATTTTTTTTTTAACTAAATGTTCTCTTCTCCGATGAAACGAAAGTTGAGCTAAATTCAAAGGATAAGCGATCTAAAATCTGAAGAAGCATTGAAAGCTCTTTGAATTTAGCAGTAAGTACTGTCAAGCATCCGTTCAGTATAATGTTCTGGGGGATGCTTTTCTTTTCATGGAACTGGTTTCTTAAAACCTTTTAAAAAGACCCTCAGGAGCAAGCAGTACAAAAGAATTTTAGAGACTTATCTGCTCCCTTCTGCTGAAAGGGTGCAAATCGACCCCACCAAGCTCATTTTTATGCAGGATAATGCTCTCCATCACAAATCAAAATTGATGAAGTAATAGTTTGATGAGAAGCAGGTGAGTGTTATGACATGGGCACCCCAATCTCCTGACCTCAACCCCATAGAAAACTTATGTAGCATGTTGCTCAACTGCTTAGTCAAGAGCCTGTACTTTATAATAACATCTGGATCTACCTGTAACCAAATATCAATAATATTACTTTATGAAATGCTGCCAAAAAGTCCTCTTTAAATTATACAAATCACATTGAGGAAGCCACTGTGAAGGACTCTTGGAACAATGCCAAAAGAAGGAGGTTGTGTAAGCCTATTGAGTTGAGATGCAGGGAAATTGACAGGCTGATCCTTCCAAAGGGCTAACATGTTGGACATCATAACAGTCAGTAGGCAAAGAAAAGCCATCAAGTTGGTCACCAAGAATGTGGATAAGGAGAGCCATGGTTGAGGTAGCATTACCTGGACACAAGCCAAGACTTGATCACCTGAATGAGAGTGATTTAAAAGAAAAGAAAGAAAGAAAAAAAATACACCTGATGACCTATCCAGGTGTGACATGAGGTGGTGTAAATGAGTTGTTTATCAAATATCAGAAAAAGCTGTCCAATTCAAAACCAGAGTTGTGTACAGAAAGATTGTGCCAAATTCCTTTTGTTATTCAAGTAAATGAGCAAAATATAAATAAGAGTCAAAAAGATATTTTTTCTTGTCTCTTTTCAATCAGACAAAACATGACAATAGTTTTTCTGATCACGTGAAAGTGCAAGAGATGTGGGAAAATGATGTAAACATAAAAAAAAAAAAAAGAATTAATAGAGCTTAATTATTTAAAAAAATATGATTCCATCATGACACAGAACATCCTATGTTTCAAAATGGAAAACTCCAAATCTAGATTAATTCTAAAAATTAAATCTACAATACAGAATTTTGGTTTTATTCCATTCTCAAGCGATTTTAAGTATCTTAAATTTTTATAATTTATAAATTTAGTTTTGAAACAAATATTCTATTTCACAATGGAATCATATATATATATATATATATATATATAGGGATCAAATATGGATTTAGAATCTGACAGAATTAAGGAATAAATAGGAAACATTTATAAAATAATGTGTATGCATGTTTGGATTCTAGTGGGAATGTTTGAGTTAACATTAACAACACAAGACAAAGACCATTGACAAACACAGAGCTAAAAGTACTGGAACTTTCTGATGAAACTCAAATAAAAGTGAAACATGTTAAATCTATTTATAAACATTTCCTAATTTGTTCCTTATCATTTACACACGCACACAGCCCCTAAATGTGAGTTTTCAAGTCAAAAGCAGAACCTACGCTGAAATATGCTAATTGAAATTAAGTTTTTATGGCTTAATAGAGATTCTCTGAATTTTTTTTAGAGTATATTTTTTTTTTTTATATACACACCCAAAATTTTTCATGCAAGGCTCATTCATTACTAAATGATTTTTACAATTTACAGTACACGCTCAACAATTTGAATTTTGCAAACTATTTTTAAATTAATATTTAAATGTCATGTCTAATGTAATTTTAAAATCAAGGAACTGAACCGGATGTGAAATGATCCTTGATTTGAAACATTTTTTTTAACAGACTTCGTATTCTGAAAAGTAGTTAGTAAAAGTGTGGTGGTTAATGAGACAGGCTGTTACAGTGTTACAAGACAACGTAATAATCACCTAACCTTCTTTCTCCATTAAATAAATGATTAGTTTGACTTGACTTGGACAAAATATCACATTAAATGATGACGAACATAAAAGTGATTTTTTTTTTTTTATGGTGTCAAAATGACAGTATTGTTGAAACTTAAACTATGGGCACTCAACCAAGTTGGCAGTAGGCATGAGGGTCCAGTATTGTGAAAGGGATCATCAGTACCAATACGGTAAAGAATAAAGATTAAGAAAGAAAAAGTTTTAGACAAAAATAAATAGATATAAATAAAATAAATTAGTTAAATGCGAGAAAGAGAGAGAGAGAAAAAAAAAAAGTCCAAAAATATGAGAGAGAAAAAAAAAAAAGCGAAAAGATGTGTTCGTTGCTGACACGTGGGCGGAGAAGAAGAAAAAAGAAAAAAAGTCTCACATTTTTGGTTTGCAAAAAGAAAAAGCATTTAAAATACATTCGTTCCATAATGAAAATAAAATTAAATATACTACTTAACTACACCGAAACTTATTAAGTTAATTTTTTTTTTTTTTGTAAAAAATATTTTAAAAAATCGTATAATTTCCATACTATTGTCTAAAAAAAAGTTCGAATTTAGTAACTTTAAAAAAAAAAAAATTCTTTTTAGACTAATTATTTTCCCAGAAGCCTTAATAGTCCAGACTCCAGAGGATAATGAAAGAAAAATAGTTTTAGTTGAGGAAAAAGACTAGATCACGTGTGAAAAGGTTTAACTCAAAAAATAAATAGACTCAAAAAATTTACTTTTTGAGTAAACCTTTTCAAACGTGATCTAGTCTTTTAATTTCAAATAAAATTTATGATGAAATAATAAAAATCTAATGAAGTAAGTTTTCGTAATATGAGACTAGGTAAAGAATTATTTATTTAACATTAGCCGACAATCTGACCATTGTTATTATTAACATCATTAGACAACTACTGAGAATGGGGCGATTTTTTTTTTCTTTTTTCGGTAATCAACAATTTTTCATTCCTAAAATAGTGAAAGTTTATTCAAATTTCTCTAAATAGATTCTTGATCTTCATCTTCTCTTCAAAGAAAATGACACGTTCAAAAAGAAAGTTAAACACAGAGACGATGAATTTAAGAGAAAATAATCTGATAAAAATAAATAAGGATTAATTTTTTTAAAAAAACTGAATTATCTGAATAATAAAGAGATTTTTTTAAATCATTAACAAATTAAAACAAAATAATTTTATTCAGAATAATAAAAAAAAATAGATTGATTTTTTTACATTTTTGCTGAAATAAATTCATCTTTATTCTTCTTAAATCTTAATTTACGTTTTCTTAAAAAGTATCTTGTGACATATTTTAACAAAAAAGAAAATTATAAAAACTTTATATTTATAAAATAATAATATATTGACCAAAAATTTGTTTAAAAATACTTGTTACTCAAATCTTTAAAAAAGAAAAATATTTTTAGATTAAAATTATGAGAAAACGAGAAATGAAAAAAAAAAAAATGATCGTTTTTTTTTCTTGTCTCGATTATCAGAAATAATTTTTAAAATAAATATTTTATTGGATTTTTTTAAATTTAAATTACAAATCTATTCTCGGCTTTACTTTTCTTCCTTTTTTTTTTTTACCTTCACTTGAAATTCTTTATTCAATTCTAAATTACATCCTAAAAAAAAGTTATCTAATAATCGTCAATTTACTAATTCTTTTCGTTTTAAAGTTTTTTTTTTTAAATAATCTAAAAAAAAAAAAAAAGAAACTTACTGAAACTCTTTAATATCTAAAGATGAACATAAAATATTAAATAATAAACTTAAATCAAAATTCTTAAAAAAAAAATAATTTCTCTCAACATTCTGTAACTTGTAGAAAAGAAAAAGGGGGGAACACGATTACGTATAAGAAATACAGTATGAGGGATCAGTTTACAATTACCAGAGCGTTATAAACTGATCCCTGTATTTATGGCTACTTTGGACTAAAAAAAAACGATCCATACTTGAAGATGAGTTTCTTATTGTTTTTTTAAACAAATATCTTACCTTTCGGCATCGTTTTTTTCTTGAAGTCAAGAAGAAACACTAAAGCAAAGAAGAAATTTTCAAAAGCGTAACGAATTCTGTAGGACACCCAGACTCTTTTTCTCTGTCGTATAGACAGGAAGAAGCAACGAGCACCCTACACACACACTGTGGGGGAGCGGACTGTAAACGAAGGTCAGCGTTGTGTAAAGCAACGTTGTTACGCGACCTGTTTTACACAATTACGGGTTGCTCCCTGACACACTAATCTCAAATAAATGCTGAGTTTGAAGGGGAATATTTATCAAATACGGTGGCTCAATAGAACCATAATTTTCAGTATTTCTTTTTTTATTTGTATTTTTTTTTTACCTGTTGAATTCCCTTGATACTATTATGCCCAATACTAGTAACATATTTATCAAAAACGTTTTATAAAATTTAAACTATGATTCATTTATTTATTTATTTATTTTACAATGCCTTCTTTTAAATGTCTTGTTCTTCCAGGACATAATGAATCATGTCTCTTCACAGCTTCTTTTTAATATCTATAAACTGTACATTGCTATGATTGTTCTTTGTCTATTACATTATTTATTTATTATTATTTATTTATTTATTTATTATTACATTTATATATTTATCATGCTAGACAATTTTACTTACCTGAACCTATCTTATTTATAAGTCTACCATTCATCCATTCATTGAATATTGCTGTCACATCTGATTTGGTGCACCTGCTATATATTTAGAGATTCTTGATAAAATCCAAAGAATCTGCAATGTTATTGGTCCTGATCTGGCATCACAGCTTCAGTCACTTTCCCACCTTCGTAATGTAGCTTCCCTGTGCTTTTTCTATAAATACTTTCATGGTAATTGTTCTAATGAACTTTCCTCTATGATACATAGAATTTATGAATTTAAGTGCAGTACTAAATTGGCAGCTAGGTCTCATAATTTTACAGTTGAAATGGTTAGATGTAAGTTCTATGCTAACATTTTTTCTGTTGCACTTCTCACTTGTGGAACTCTCTTCTGAATTCTTGCTTCCTGGTCAACTTTGATTTTCAAAAATTTAAATGCAATGTTAATCATTATCTTATAAGTAATAAACCCTTGTAATGATAGCAACAAATAAATCACGAAATAACTTCTTACATAGTCTAGTACTAAAGGTTAAAGTACGAAATCAAAATAATAGCTTTTAATTTTTCTTTTCTTATTAATTATTTAAGTGATAAAATTACTTTAAAATATTGATAAGAATGATAATTAACAATAAAGAAAGAAAAAGTGAGTTTATAAAAAAATAGTTCAATAAATATGAAATGTCCCATCATGCACTGAAACAGGTGTTTTGCTGCCAATTTAAACAGAAATCAAATTTTATTTCTCTTCATCTTCAATGTACAAATGAAGTAGATGTCTGGTTTGGCACTCCAATAACACATTTTGCTATCAAATAGATAAGCATAAACATTTTATCTCTGTATACATATATATATTCTTTAAAATATACAATATTTTCTCTGAAATGTATACAAAAGCCTTTTTATCATTTTTTCATGTTTATTGTTTATTGTGTTGTATCTTGTATATGATTTGTAATTTATATATTTCCATTATGGGGCTGATGATGTCTTTTTACCCCAAACAAAATTACATATATATATATATATATATATATATATATATAAAAAAAACATAAGTACATTCAGACAAAGCCAATGCATCACATAACAACCCACAACACCCTATTTCAAATGCAATTACGTACCTACCATATTAAAACAAACCCAAACTTTATTTTCTACCCAATAACAAACAATATTAGACACATACTAAAAAAAGATTTCACAATGTAACCCACAACATTTAAATCAAAATGTCTATTGGTTAGAAATTAATATCACCATATGAGATATTTGACCAATTAGAGAAAACTAAATCACTATATTTTTCAAGCCTATTTTGAGAAAACTGCACAGATTTCAAATTACAAGGAGCAGAGCAGTCTCCAAAAAAATTAAAAACAGCAGAGAGATGCAACTCTTTCCCACTGAGTGCATGCCATATAAGACATATGTCATCAACTTCAAATGAATCAACTCCAACATTAACAACATTGATGGCCAGTCAATGACTTCAAATAAATCATTTCCAACATCAACAGCATCAATGACCAGTCAGTGACTTCAAATTAATCATCTCCAACATCAACAGCATTGTCGAAGTTAGCTCCTCCTTGGCTTCTTAAACCGGAAGAGAACAGGTCATTTCGACCTTGACCTTTCGGTTGTGCTCCCTACATGCCGTTAACCTGAGGTAGAGACTAGCAAGTTACCTTTTCAGTTTAGTTATATTACGAACCTAGTCATAATATACTTCTAGGCGTTTTTAGGCCATGGTTTTCTTTTAGTTAAGCTCTACTCATTTTTTAGATAAACTTTACTGTGTTAGCTTACCAATTCTCTTACTAGTCTCCCTTACCACAAGACAGTGACTTCTCACTAAATTTAGGGTCGGCGACTGAAACAGTCGGTATGCAGGCTTCTGGCCTCTGTGGCCAGGACGTCGACCACCAGGCTGTGTATTAAGTTACGCTCCCATTTCTTTTTGTCTGCCAACTTGACGATAGTTGGAAACTTTCCTTCTCTCTCTCCTTCGCCTCTTACTTCTGGCTCCTTGCCAACATTCGACTCTCGGCATTCCGTCCCTACTGGCTGCCTGCATGTCATCCATAACCTTTCCTGTACACTACGTTAGTAATTATTACGGGAGGTTACTAATTTCGGACTCGACCGGCAGACATGCAACGCCTGCACTGGACCTTTGACATGCCCGAACAACATCGCAACGCCAGCTCCTCTTTCCTTCCCAATATGTCAAGCTGGCATCCCGGCAACGACCAACATCAACCTCAAACTACAATGACCAGCAACAATCATCTGCAATGACTGACATCAACTTCAACTACAGCGATCATCTGCAACGACCAGCAGCGACCACCTGCAACGACACCTGTAACAACCAACCTCGACCATCAATGCCTGCACTGGAACGTCTGCATCTCTACTGTTCCGACCACCTTTATTTCTTTATTACTTTTCTAGAATAAATTAACTTATATCTTATATATCCTCGTTCTGTCGTCTATGTTGTTTCACCTTGTCAGATTTAATGAAAATGCTAGTGGGCCTCTTGTGACCTCATCACCCTTTTGTGAAAGGGGGGGCGCTCGAGGGGTCTGCCACAGCATCGATGGCTAGTTGTTGACTGCAAATGAATCATCTCCAACATTAACAGCATCGATGGTCAGTCGATGACTTCAAATGAATCATCTCTAACATCAACAACATTGATGACCAATCAGTGACTTCAAATGAATCATCTCCAACAACAAACAACAACGATGGTCAGTGAAAGTCTTGTCTAAACTACAACCTTTTTCTGTGAACCAACTACCAAAAGTCTTTAACACAACTAAAGACTATTTTTGATACCTTTTAACACTTTTGAATTAATGCATTTTATGTTTCTAAATACAAATGATTTATTTAACAGAAATACTCTCATGTTTTATACTCTTTATTTTAATATTGTTTAGAATTTGGATGTTTGGATTTTTAATATAAAAGAAACCTGGAATACTGAATTTCCTACAATCTTCTGCTTTAATTCCAGTTCTTGTATTATTCTCTCCTCTGTTTTTTTTTTTGCATGTCCTCTCACACTCAATAACCCCTTGTGTCTTGGTGGCTTTATTGTTGTTGCGAGATGTTAGCCTGTTTGGGTAAATATTAATCATCCTTATGTTGTGGAAATCAACACTTTGGGCAGTAAATATTTACGGGTTCCTGGAAAATGTATCCCACAAACAATATTGGTGGATTCAATGTGAGTCCAGGCAAAAATGAGTGACACACAAAACAATAAATATAAAACAAACATCAATGCATGTATTAACAAAATGAATTATATGTGACAAAAGGATAAAACAGGAAACTCATTATAATAATGTGCTTGTTTGTGTGTGTGTGTGCATAACAAGCATATATGAATACAAAGGTCAAGAGAGAAAATCATGAAAATGAATGTTCTCCAGTGGGGGACACTTTACCTGTATACGACTACATCTGAAAGCCAGAGTTAAAAAGCTGTAAAAGAGGCTAGGGAGAGAAATGCATGCTTTTTTATAGGCTTAAGGAATTCTCCCTAGTCAAGTGGGATGACCTACATTGTCATACTTGGGGTGAAATCATTAAAAAATGCATCAGGTCTAAAATATACTTGATCAAAATAACTCAAAAATTTAGCTGTAATTCATAATTATAAAACGCAGATTGTGTGTGTGTGTGTGTGTGTCTGTACGTTTATATATTGGATCGGATTTCCTACATTTTCCAACCGATTTCAACAAAACTTCACAGGACTACGTGCAGTGGTTCTGACAGCGCCAAAAATTGGATAAACACAATTGTTTTTGCACAAAATCAATTTGAAAACATGATTAAGAGGCATCACTTTCACGGAATGAAAGGGGGACAACTCATATCGAGTTATACTTATTATAAAACCCAGGTTGTGTGTGTGTGTGTGTGTATGTGGGGGTGTGTGTTCGTATATATATGGGATCGGATTTCCTACATTTTTCAACCGATTTCAACAAAACTTCACTTTTTTTTGGCAGGTAGTGTTTCTTATTGTCTTGCACACTTTTTTCTTTATTTTTACATTCAGAATGCTTTAAAAATTCCATTTACAAGACAATTGTTTATAATAAAATTCTATTCAATTGGTAGACTCATAACGATTGAAAACAATGTTTTTGTTTGAGTTTGAGTTTGGGTTTGACCAATTTGTAAAAAAAAAAAAAAAAAAAAAAAAAAAACTAATTAAGACATGCGTGTTCGTCAACCTTAAACAATAATCTTTGTCAATTTTATTTTTCAGTCTTTATGATGGTTGATACTTGATCTATCTCTTACTGTTACATCCCCGGGCAATGCCGGGCTCTACTAC